TGGCGGCGCTATCAGGTGGCAGTCCTGACGCTGGGTATGGCCATGACCTCCCCGGCCTGGCGCAGGTTGGTGGACTGGAGTCTGCAGGTGACCAACTGGAGCCGAGGAGGCAGAACGGTGAACCGGGAAAGCAACCAGCGAGGGGCAGCCGTGCCCGCCCTGAGACCCGCCGGCCCTGGGCGGCGAAAAGCTGACGCTGGCAGGGATCGGCCAGCTGCCGGCCGAGCACGAGGACCAGCTGGAGGTGGAGCAGGTACCACAAGCGCGTCCTGCTCTAAGTCGAAGCGCGGGACAGCGTCTCCAGCCGCCGAGGGGGGAACCAAGCACCTCCTGGGGGAAAGCTCCGAGGAGGCAGCAGCTGAACGCAGCAGCTGGGGATGGCGAGGGCGCTTCAGATAATGACCCCTGGATGCTCCTGAAAGAACAAGAAGAACGTAAGAAATGCGTCATCTGTCAAGACCAAACCAAGACAGTACTGCTTCTGCCCTGCAGGCACCTGTGCCTGTGTCAGGAGTGCACGGAAGTCCTCCTGCAGCAGTCCGTTTACCAGCGCAACTGCCCACTCTGCCGCCAGATGATCCTCCAGACGCTCAATGTGTACCTGTGAGCCCAAGGGGCGGGCGGCTTGGGTCATGTTCCCAGGAGGTCAAGGGCACCCCTGTCTGCCTCTTGCCGGGAAGCAGGACGTCCCAGGGCTGCCTTGAGCAGCTCCCAAAGAACTAAGGATGGTGCTGAAAGGGCAAAAGGCTGTTGAGGGGTGTCTGCTAGCCACATTTGCTACCTAACTAGATTGTAGCTCTAGCTAGCAAACACGATAACCGATTGCTGCAGCAGGCTGAGAGAGTTACCTTTTTGTTGTTGTTGTTGACAAGTTTCGCTGTTTCAGGGCCTGTTGCCTCAAGCCTGCAACAGTCTGAGATCCAGAGATGCTCTGGTCCTTCCTAGCCAAAGCTGATGGAAAGGTTAAAGGCTGTGCCCTCCTGGGAATCACTGGGGCTGATGCAAAGCAAGGGAGGGTTTTTCCCAAGGTCTGGCCAGAAAACTACCTGGCAGACTGCATTCAGGCCTCTGTTTTTCTTCCTCCCACCATCTAAGTGGGGGAGCTTCCTGGGAAGGGAGAAGCGTGCCCCTTTTGCAAGGCCCTAGGAGAACAATGAACACACTCGAGCTTGTTAGGCTTTGCTGCCAGAGGGCTGAGCCTGGTTCTCAGCTGGAGAGGAGCAGGGTTTCTGGGGTACTTCAGTATCCCAACCACTGCGGCTGTGGTTTTTGAGCTTCCTATTCCAATGAGGAGCCGTGATGAACGTGGGCTCTCTGCAGGCCAGCTGACTGCAGAGCTCAGCGTTGCTGCCGCTTCCACGCATCATCTATGCAAGACTAGCAAGCACACATCAGGTTACTCGCCTGGGAAGGCGGGAGGGAGTTACTCTTTCTGCAGGGGCGGTGGTGCTGTTGGGGAACCTGAGGAGCGTCTGGCTGGCCAGTGCTCGCAGCCCTGGCAGCGGCAGCACGTGTCTGAGCCAATGCTGGAGAATCCTCTCTAGATAATACACATTTTCTTCAGGCTCAGAGTGCCATGGAACTGGGTGGTTCATACCAGTGCTTGCTTGTTCCTTCCCAGGCTGGGCTGGCTAGAGGGAGTAACTCTTTGGGAGGAGAGGGGACACCCCAAAGCTTCTGGGAGCCCACCGAGACATTCCAGCTCCAGGCACAAGTTCTGCATATCTGTGCTGCAGATCTGCAGCTGCGTGCATGGAGCAGTACCAGGACCATGGCTATCTTTGATTAGGGCAGGGTTAGACTGCGGTTCTGTCTTGCTGTCAGAAATGTAGCTAGTCTTATTTAAAATGGTCCCCTGAAGTCTAATGAGGGCATCCAGTCCTGGCTGGGGAGGCCTGAGATGGCTCATCCTAGCTTGGTCAACCATTGCTGGGGCTGCAAGAGGGCCTTGCACTAAAAAGCTTTTCCTTTTCCAGCTGCTTGCCTGAGGTCAGCTACACGCCACAGCCAATTTTGGCTGGAGCCAGACTGGAAAGAGTCTTGACTCCTAGACTGCAAGCCAAGAGCCTGAGGGCAGCTGGCATGGTCTTCCTTCTCTATTTTCCTTCTTGATTAGTGATTTAAGCCAAAACAGAAGCAGCAGAGAGGCCAGGCCATGCTGGGAGACGCCTCTGTGCTGTAAGCCCGAGCAGTGCTAAGATACCGTCTTGTTAGAGAGTGGCTTTGCTCTTGGAGGCACTGCAGGGGCTGGTCGCCCCTGCGTTAACTGGGGGCTGGAGGGACTCCCTGGGACAAGCTGGGCTCCTGAGCACTAATGGGTGTCAGAAGGGCCTGACCCCCGGGGCCATCAGCTGCTTCCACCCCACTTCACAGAGATGCAAAGCTCGCCACCCGAGCCCTGTTGCTCAGCCTCTTGTCCCCGTGCCTCCCCAGACCCACACCACCCACGGTCGTGTTTGCTCTCTCCAGCCCCCTCTCTCGTGGCTGCAGGCAGTGACACTTGCAGTTGAGTAGCCAAGCCCTTGCCAGAGCAGCGAGTGCAGCCCCACAGACTGCATTCCCGAGTCCTGTGTGTCCCAGGCACTTGCAGAGCTCTCTCCAAGGAGACAGGGACCTGCTCCTTTCCCTGGGTGTGCAGCCATGCTTCTGGCTGCAAATGGTAGTGTTCGGTCAGGTCCAGCACACGGATCTTGGGATGCAATGTTTCCTATATGAATTGGGGGGGGGGGGGAACACGGACACCACACGACACACACCTCCCCAGGACTGCAGTTTCTCCCCTCAAACCTTTCTTCTATTATACCAGTCACGCTTATTGTTTTAGGGCCTGTTTGTTTGTTGCCTGTTTATTAAAAAAAAAAAAAAAAAAGAGAAAGCTTTGCCTTAAGTTTAACTCTTTGCACTGTTGACTAGATACTGAGCAGATTAAAGTCTTTTACCAAAAACTACCTGCTGCCTCATTCTTGGGAAGGATTTTCTCTGGGGGGGATGGGGTCTCCTCTCTGCTCACCCCTGGAGTCCCGAGGAAGCCCATCACTCCCCCCCAAGGGTCAGCACCGGAGGGCCAACACCACCAGGAAGCTCAGGGGTACTCGTCTGGGGGTGCTTGCACCCAGAAAGGCAGTGCTGTGGGATACCGCAGAGCCAGGCTGCTGCACAGGAAAAGCCTGGGACCCAGGAGGTGAATCTACACCTGAAGACGCAGCAGGTGAGCTTTCCAAGACTGGCATCCCCCAGCCCCTGTTCTGCTGACCCACAGCGAGAGCGGTGGTACCCGAAGCGCTAGGAGCTGTGGAACAGCAGGCAGCACGGGGCTCAGCCTTGCCGTGCAGAAAGGCTGTGGCAGGCTCAGCCGCGCTGGGCTACCGGTGAGCAGATGCATTCGCTGTACCACGAGTTACTCCCTGGCCACAATCTGAGCTCTTGGCAGATTGCTGTGTGCTTTTAAGCACCCTCTGCTTCTCCAGCATCCTTGTAAATTGCTTGGAAAAAGTGTTTTGGGGCCCTGATGGGCAGAGACCTCAGGAGTTCTGGCTTACCCTGCCCTGAACTCACCTGCCTTGCCAGGGCTACACCAGCAAACTAGCTAATTTTAACCAGGATCTTTTCACGCCCTGGCTGAAAACCCCAGTGGGGAGCGGGGGGGCTGCTGGGAGGCCAGAAAGAGTCGGGCATCTGCCGCAGGAACGCAGCTCTGCCAGGCACAGTGCAGGCATGGGGAAGGAGACCACCCGAGCCCTGGGGGTGTCTGGCTGCAGGTGGGTGACAGCAGGGGGAACGGAGGCACTGCTCAGCCACCTTCTCTTGCTCCCAGGGTGCGAGCGCTGAGGCAGGCTGAGCGCACAGGGAGGGTGCAGAGCTGCCATCACCCGCACAGGCAGGGGGTAAAAACACCTCCCCCGCAGCCAGCCCCAACAGGGGACCGAGAGGGTGTTCAGCGGCCTCAGCCCACTGTGGCTGGGCCTGCCAAGCAAGGACAGGATGTGAAGGACATAGCCTTCCCCCAGGGAGCCATCCTGCACACACTTGGCTCGCTCACTGGCCAAGCAGCAAGCAATTACAGGAGGAAAATGCAACCACCTCCCAGCTAATGGGCAGCGCACAGGGCTCCCGGGACTGATGGTCAGCCATGCCAGACCTGCCTGCTCTTTTGGTGCCCGCCTGCACTGCCTGGGGAGAATGTCCAGCAGCAGCAATGCTCACAGACCAGTCCAGGGCATGAGATCTGGAGTCCCCGGGGGTACTCCCTGCTCCAGAGCTTCCTTAGGAGCCTCACGTGTGAGCTGAGCGGCTGGTCTCAGCCCATCACAATGCCAAGACCCTTCTCCCTTCCCCAGGGAGGGAGGAGCATGACGCTGCTGGGTTACTCCAGTTTGAGGGTGGTGGAGGCTGACAGCTTGCTGAAACCGCCCCCCCCCCCCCCCCACCCCAACGGGCAGAGACAGACAGCAC